TAGTTAATTTTTTGCTGTTCTATGGCTGTTGCACTGATGTCTAAAAACCACTCATTGGATTTCAATGAAACTTTTAAAGAGTACCCATCACGTTTCAATGAACCTAAGACTATGCACTATATTAGTTTTTGGTAAATATTTATGCTTCTTAATCACCTAATTAACATAATTAATTAATACTAATATCTCAAGTATTGATCATCACATTTGAATAAAACTTGGTACATAAATGCTCTAGGACAATAGACAGCCTGATTAATTTTGGGTTCAAATCTGTTCATATTAATTCTCTAATTAGCATAATAATTAATATTTTTTTGGTTCTAATCACATTCCAATGAAACTTGGTACATTGTGCAGACCTTATTAGTTTTACACCTAAATCTGTTCATATTAGTTACCTTATTTGCATAATTAGTTTTCAGCTATTCCATCAATATCTCAAGTATAAGTAATTTTGAATTAATTTTTAATGTGTCTCCAAAACTCTCAGCACACGGGAATTCTTTCTAAGCTTTCTTTGATTTCACTTGAAATTTATTTTCACTGATGTTATGTAAAATAAAATCCAGTGAAAGTATTTTCCCCTATGGTTTAAATGTAATTTATGACAAATTATTGAAAAATGGATATCGTGTATTAACTCCAATTGTGGATTTTAAGTATATTTTAAATGCACAGTGTATATTTAAATAGGTCTAGATTTTTTTATTGACAAATTTTGACACCTTTTACAAAATGACTGTTCATAATTCATTCCATATTTTTTCAAACACATCTGAGAAATTAACATGATTGAAGTAATCGTTCAGAGATCAGAGAAAAAACCAGTGATGGAATAACTGTTTTTTTAAAAAGTTTTTTAGCTCTGCCGCTCTCTTTGTCGAGCGGAGCTAATCATATTACTGATTGTTTGTCGTCGTCTGTCTCTTATTCTGATTCGGTGTTGTTATTGTTGATTGCTTGTTTGTTTTTGTTTTTGTTTTCACAAAGAAACTGTAAAACATCTAATTTGTCTCTGCAGTGGTAATAAGTCATCTACAAGAAAATTTTTAAGTGTTGTACTGTATAAATGGCAATAAAATGGAAAATATTTGATTTTAAACCTGACTTTTTCTTATTTCTACCTAGATACGGAAAGTGTCAATACAGACGATTCGTTAGGCCGGACGGCAGTAATGTATGCTGTACATTTCAAACAAATGGAATGTCTGAAATTTCTACTTTCGAAAAAAGCTGACGTGAATAGAACAGCAAATGGTGAGTGCATCCGATAAACCAACCCATCATGCTTTGTACCGGTAGTTGTCTGATATATATATATATATATAGTGCGCCCTCACAGGTGATGAGGTTCAATCATCTCTTGTGTGCCTTCACAGATCTTTCCTTTTGTTGAGAGCAATTGTTCATGCAAAATTTTGTTCTAGTGAGCTATTTCTAACTCCATTATTACTTAAATAAATAATTATTTGTGTTTGATGTTTGTATATTTTTGCTTTTGTTTGATGTAATTTTTAGTAGTCAGTGATATTAGCCTTTGGCTAGGTATTTCAAACTGACTTTAAATAAACGAATTGAATTGAATTGAAATGAAAGGCCTGCCTTCACACATTTGCGACATACGTAAAACACATCAGTTACAGTATTGATCAAATATCTATGCTACGCTTCATTTCTCTCTCTCTCTCTCTCGTCTTAGATGGCTCCACAGCGGTACACCGAGCAATAATTGACAACACCATTCCAGCTGTAGAACTCCTCATACAGTACAATGCAGATGTAACGATCCAGGATTCTCAGGGACGGGCACCTGTACACTGGGCCACCACTGCTGAGGATGTAGATTGTCTGGAGGTAACGAACAACAAACCATTTACAGATACTGATAGATGGAGGGTGGTGTGTTGTTATCATTAGGTTAGATGGACCCCTTAACCTTTTCACCGCCAGACTTTCTTGTCCGAATTTTTATAATATGAGTGATTGTCCGTCGCCCATCGTCTGTGTCAATGTTTTACTTTTTCGACTTCTTCTTGAAAACTACAAGCCTTGAGTAGACCTCAGATTTGTTCATTTCATGATCCTATCTTCAATTCTCTAATTTTGTTGAATATTTTTGTAATTTTTGGTAAAAAGTGATATTTTCAACTTCTTGTTAAAAACCGCAAGGCCAATTGCTTTGATATTACATATATAGGTACTACATGTGGATCTCTCTCAGATTTGTTCATTTTGTAATGATATCTTCAATTCTCTAATTTTGGTGAATATTTTTGTCATTTTTGGTAAAAAATTATATATTCTCGACTTCTTGTTAAAAACCACAATCATTTATGGTGAAAATTTTTGAATTTTGCTGAAAACAGCAAGTCCCATTGCATTGATACTATGCATAATGTTCATTTTCTAATGATATCTTCTGTTCTTTAATTGAAATGTGCATTGCTAACAGCGGAGCTATCTCAGCCGAGAGGCTGCTTGTCTTATATTCTTCAATATTTTTAGAAATGAAGCCAAATTTCAGTCAATTTTCAGTTTTTACTCAAAAAATTTTGCTATTTTTGTCAACAATTTTCTGAATGAAAGTGCAGACTATAAACAGGACTATTTTGTGAATTTATGATGAAAAGAGGGAACTGGTGGTGAGAAAGTTAAAGCTAGAAACCAATGGGTTCAATGCACTATTTTTTTTTCGCTGTAACTTGTTTGACTGCAAGAATACACTCAAAGCACTTTCCTGCATCGAAGTAATGTTTTTATTGATTATTTTTTTATATTTGATTACGGTTTACAAATTGATTTTTTTTTTGCAGATTCTTTTGAAATGTAATGTCAATGTTAATGTTCGTGACATTGACGGTTTGACACCTTCTATGTGGGCATGTCATATGGACCATAAAGTGCATTTTGAACTCATCAATTCAGCAAGTATCCAAGTAATTGAGGAAGCAGACGGTATAGAGAGAGATTACAACGGTAAAACATGGGTACACTGGGCTGTAAGAAGAACTGAACCTTTAACGTGTCTCAGGGTATGTGAAGAAATTTTATTTCTATCTATTAATAAAGCCTTGATTTTTTTAGTCATAAAAAGTCCGGGTTGCATTAATGTTTTCTTATATTGTGGAAGAACTGATTGACGTGGAAGGATACATCATAATGAGAAGAGTGATCTGGTGGGTATGCAGGGATACTTCATAATTAGAATTTAAGTTATCCG